GCTATAAGCCTAGCATGCAGTAAAATGGTGTTTGTGAAGCTAGCGAAATGACCGGCGAGCGCATCATAAGCGTGGCATGTACTCATGTCGCTATATGACATGCATCTCAAGATTATTATGTTTGCACCAGTCATATAGCTTCGACATTCATTGACATCACGTAACACCAAATTTACTATATGTGAAGCTAAAGAAATTGCCGTGAACGAATCATGAGCGTGGAATGTAATCATGTTCTTACATGACCCGCATGTCATGATTTGTCACTTATGTTCGCCATGCAGTCATGTCATACCATACCAGTTTCGCAACATTCCATGTGAACGAAACCTCTGCAAGAACAGCTAGACCATGATATGTAAATCATGACAATCATGACATACATGGCATCATTTTTATGTTATGACTCACTTATTCTCGTCCTACAGCCTTGTTATGCGATACCATCTTTGGTATCGATACCATTATTGAAAAAGCCAGGAGAGCTAAATGTCGTAGGTGGATAGATAGATAGATAGATAGATAGATAGATAGATAGATAGATAGATAGATAGATAGATAGATAGATAGATAGATACCAAAAGTGCTTGTAGTGCACAATGATATCCTTCGCATTTGATAAGTATGGCATAGTCGGAACTTAGCAACTGTGCTCCCAGTAGGCGTTCAATGATAATAAAAATCTGGCAATTTTACGCGCATAGCTTGTTCATTACAGCACGGACAAGACTTGCACTAAGAACAGAACAAGGCTAGAAATTCAGAGGAAGATGCACACGCGGCCAGACTAAGCTATCGCGATCTGTTTTTGAAGGCGACGCTCAAGCGTCCTACAATCATCTGATTTTCGGATATTATAAGCCTTCACCTATCCGCACAGACTGCCTGCGGTTCTCTAGGTAGAAACTAAATAGCTGTAGTGGTGTACCTCCGATTTCATAACGACCAAGTTTATCTCGTAGTGTGGCGTGATTTATATGATGAACGCTTTCGTAAAATCAATTTATACATCAATCCTAAGGGGTTTTTATGAAAGGCATGTAGAAATATTTCCTTCTGGTTGCAAACAGGAAGTTCGCGCAATGTTTATTCGCATAATTCACATTGCCAGTATTTCATCAGATCAGACCTATTCATGAAATGCGAAACTATATCGTGCAATAGCTTTCCCGGTTCTTTGGAAAATAAAATTTTTGAATATAAAAATAGGTTGATAATTTTCAAGGTTCTTTCTGTACCGGCCTTTGAGAATGAAGTTGATTTTTTTAGAAATCTGCCTGTAAAAAAAGCTGTTTTAAATATTGTTGACAGTCTGTGCCTGTCATGTACTTTACTGGTTCTGTTTGTAAGTTATCAATGTCAACATCCTGCGCTGAGCTGTTTTGATACCAGGTGAAGAAAGTTTGGAGCCGTGTAATTATAATAGGTTTCTAGTAAAGAATTCTGTCATTATGCTGACTGCACACAAAGAATCGGAGTGGTGAGACTGGTAATTAGATTGACCAAAAAGTCTATAAATAGTTGAGGCCCATCAACGTGACGGCATCTTCCTCAAAAGCAGAAAGATCGAAGAGCTCACTTAACTTCTTACACATAATTTTTAGTTGAGAATTATGGTAAACACTAGAAAGTATCAAATATGTTTCCTTAGCATTACCATTTAACAACTGCTGGTCTATATTATTAAGGTATGGTTTGAAAACTATAAATGATTCATAGATACATTTTTACTGAACGTTACCGTGATAAGTGTGCACGATTTCATATCCGCGTTGAATAGAAGTTTTCGCCGCCGTCTACAGCAATGAAGTGCCACTTAGGGAATTTATTACACAGCGAACGAAAACTCGTCGAGGGCTGTTTTGCGGCGGGGTGTAGAGGTGCGCTTACAGTTGTAAACTTTTCATTATGCTTCGCGCATTTTGCTACATTATTTGTCGCTTAACTGCTTATTTTGTTGCCCTGCTGGAATAAAAACTACTGGTTCTCAAAACAGACAAGCGAAAGCGTTACTTTTGTAGTGTGGGTCCGACCAATCCAAACGCCATGTAGCTACGCCCCAGCGCCTCCACCAGAGTCACGGCGGCAAAGCAGAGGCCTTGTTGCATGCAGAGATTGTGATGCCACAAAAATGTCGTTCTCTATTTGTTATAACTCGCAGGCAAGTTCTTCAGCCTTTCTCTGGTGCTTAATAGGACAGGCTTTGTTTGTTTGTTTTTGAATATATGGCATGTACTCACTTTCAGGAATTGGTCAAGAATGTGACGTTGACACAATTTAATGGTATTTTAGGCATGATAGGTGATTGAAAAAATAAAGAAATCAAAAGATAATGATACGTAATACATTAAATTTAAACTATAGGTATTATGCTTTTGAGCTTGTATTCGAGAAAGAAAGAAATGAGAAAAAAAGAAGGGATGAGGTTAACCACATCCTAGCGTCCGATATGACCGCCATATTAACCTTACGGGAACAATTTTGAAAACTGAAGTTTACCTTGTTGTAAAAGAAATGAAGAATTTTGAATACCAGATTGAAATGGTACTCGTTGAGTGGTTTTCACAAAATACACAAAACATCAAAGGTATCTCTGTGGCAGTATCCCAAGTCTGAGGCACCGAAGCTTGAAACATTTTTCTCCGATGAGGTTAAAACCTATTTTTGAAAGAGGAGCAATCAGAATTCGAGTTCTACGAGAATATCTTGGACAAGACAAAAAGTAATGTGCAATAATTTTCTGTTCTCCCCAGAATTGTCACAGGGATGATACCGTCAGAGAAGCCCTGTGCAAGTTGAAGTTCAATGGGGGGACACGGCATTGAAATCTGGTGACTGTCAATTCTGAATGTGGAGATTGGCTCCACTGCGACTTCCGTGAAAACTTTATGTGCCTATATTTTGTCCACGTCGTTATTGCTTCCATCCTAGCTAAAAAATGATAAGCTTCTATACCTGGTCGCGGTGAAGTATTCTACCACCGGAAGAACCTTAACTATTGGGAGATGTAGCGATGCGCGGGCTAAGGTATCAGCCATTCATTTTGTGTTAGCCCACAGTGACCTGGGACCCATTGTAATTTCAGATACTTCCGCTCAAACTGAACTAAAAATATTAACGTCATGATGGCGTGAGAGTTATGAGAAGATGCGAAAGCTGTGCATGTCGAGAGCGAATCAGTAATTAACTCTGCCCTATTCCCTAGCATCGAAAGTTTTTGTTTTGCAGTGCCATGATGACAACCATCAGCTCTGCTTCAAAACTCGGAGTGAAATCGGGTAGCCTTACGGCGAATGACCAGCCAAGTGAAAGACTATTCCTACGCATGCTCTTTTCTCAATCACGAAAACATTTGTAGCTATTATGTGACGGGGCTGTGTACGCACCAAAAGTTCTGCACAACTATTTTCGAAACCTTTGCTGGATTGAAGTTTAAGTTTTGCAGAAAAGATATCTTCATATCCTATATTGAGAGTATGGTTTGAGATATTAGACGCAATTACCGCTATGATGTTGCTATTTATATTTGCCCGTTTCTCTGTACACAGAATATGCCTGGTGTACAAAAACGTCACCGATGAGCGAGAAAGAACTAATCTGGGTCACAGATGAACACACATTCATTTCTCCTCACTACCAAGCTGCAAAATTTTAGGAAAGTTTGTACTATTAACAAACGGAATATGCAGGAAGACGCGCTTCCTGATAAACAAAACTAATTACTGCAAACATAGGTAGTGCCAGACACAAGCGCAAAGCTTCCCGCGCCAAGAAAACCAACAGCTTTCTTTTGTACGCAGGTCTTCGAGAGATGAACACAAATCCAAATTTTATTATGCGCAATCGTATCATCAATGTTATGGCTTTCATCCCGCAAGCACAACACCATGTTTTCGACCGGCGTGCTTGTGTACGTCGCAATAAGTGAGTGGTTTTATAAAGGAGTAACCAAGTGCGAATTCGTGCTTCAGGCAAAAGTATGCGTAGTTGTGAAATCAGATAGCACTGCGAAGACGATGTAGTCACTAGAGAAGCGGTGTCACCAAAATACAAAACTATAGGCGTCTCCAGTAGCGCCTTGGGCGTGCGCGACCTTTCTCCCTGAGAACTTGAAAATCTTCTTGCGGAAATGTTAAAATAGCCATTGTTCAAAGAAATTTAAGAACTTTACATATATCAGAGGCTCCTTATTAGGAAAAAAGGCACGAAAGCAGGGGGGGGCTTTACGTGATCCTAACAAACGTAATCTAAAATACGAGAGCGAGTGACTTGCACGTGACCTAGAACTTTCCGTCTCTCATATTCTGCCGTATCTCATATTTACGTGACCAACTGTAAATAATGCATCTATCTATTGACACTACTACAATCAGAAACAACGAAAAATTGGATCCCCACTATACATTCCAGTGCTTCCTGTGTGATGCGCCACCTAAGCATTTATACTTCTCTCTCTCTCTATTTCCAATTCTGGGAAAGCCCTTGGTTTTGTCGGTAGAAATGAGCGTTGTGGGTTCTATTGCCTCGTTAACTGTTTGTGGAATAGGTGTCCTTTGCATCCGAGCCAAATGACTGGCCATGTTGTTGATTTGCGCCCACCCGATTAAGCTATCTGCCACAAAACAATATAAATGGGCAGTGTTCGTGACACCAGCAGCCAAAGCTCTTCAGATTAGGCTGATCTCTTTTCATGCTGCAAACAAGAATCACCTAGTGGGGGTTCGAGTGCCTAATCAAATAACGCTAGAAGTTTACGGCAATCACTAATGACTAGAAATAGGTGCCTCTTTACAACTCAAAGGATATTGCGAAAGTGTGTTAATGTATTAGACGTAAACGAAAGTGAGGCATAGCTTGTCAAGGTTGATATGTTCTAGGCAGTAATGTCCGGAAGTGAAACAGTTGGCAATAAAGCATTGGATTGCAATAATAAGGTGGCCATCCTGTAAACGTTACGCGACGTTTGGTGCTATGAAGTTGTGTAGCCAAGATTTCTTTTGTGCACGCTAAACGTTTTTATTCCACATAAATGGGGATTCACGAGATTAGGAAAAAAATCGCTTCTTCTGAGGTGCCACTGGTTCACTTCTTGCGGCCATGAATCGGGTCCATAAAATCACCGTCAGTGGCAACGGCTTCATTCGGAACCATGATGACGGCCACTGAAAGCAAAGCACATTCAGCAACATTTATGTGTGCGTACGGGCTGTTGTGTACAAGTTGCGCTCATCTGTGCCTCAGCTTCAAAACTTCCAAGCAACAAACAGCTCAGCACAGGAGGAACTTCAATTGTATCATTTGTACCGACTACTTCTATACAGTAACGGAGAAGTTAATTACTTCGTGTTTTCATTTTGTGTCTCATTTGCTTACTTACAATTTTTAAATGCTCACTGCTGTGAACAATTCTCACAAATATGGCAGCCACTATTGCTACTTTACTTAACGTTCAGGACTTTTGTACACATTTAATGAAACGTGATGTGTTCATTACATATAACTAAAAAAACCATTTACCTATTGCGACAGCAGCAGCGACAGTAAGACTGGTTCCCAATGAGCGGTTCATGTTGAAATTCCGGAAGCGTTTTTGAGAATTATCAAAAAATACACTGACACAACATTGTTCTACTAGACTACAACCCCACTTATCAATCATAGACTATATTGTTATCTTCATTCTTTCAAGCTCTCCTTTTATGGTGAACTGAAGTGTTAGCTGGGTGGTCCCTGTATTAAATTCGATATGAAGTCGCATACAATCTAAGATGTTTCTAGGCTTTTCGTGCACTTTGAAATACTACTGTGACTGTGACTAGTGCTATGTAAGCGTTCTCAGAATATCAGTATGAATGAATATACAATATGAAATTCACGTGAGTTGAAGTTTTTGGTATGAACTTTATTTTATATGCAGTGCATCCACTTACGTCACATGAGACGGCCCTGCTGCGCAGCGCAATACTAAGTTTCATGTCATCAACATATCCTAAACTGCTCCGGCATCATGGACACAGTGGTTCAACACATCATACGAAGTCAACATTAACGAACGTGCCAACTCCGTTTGAAACTATCGATGCCTGAAACAGAGAGCGTAGATATAAAAGAAATGCGCCAATGCGAACATATGCGTATTCGCACAGGTAATAGAAGGATTTTAAAAAAGAAAAATCAGCCCTAAATAATATTACGTAACTTGTATTGACACCGATTTCTCGGGTTAGCGAAGACCCAGCCTGTAGCTTACAACACACGTTGCACAAACTGATATTCTACCGTCGACAGTGTTCGTTCACACTCTCTCAGGCTTTCCAAAAAAGCGATACTTTTCAGGTGTCATAAGCTGCACTGGCTGTACTGGCTGTACTGGCTTTCGCCAACAGCTGTCTACCATTCCAATTTTAGGGAAATAATGCTTATTTTTGAGAGTTTCCTAGTACAGCAACACCAGTGTAAGTATTGCGCTATTACATATTATGCATTTGTTCCATTAACACAAAACGTTCCAACGTTGCTTCTCAAAATAAACAGTTCTGGTTCTCGCTAATTAACAGTGTGACTTCTGCGTATATGTCATACATGCGGTATTGCGTAATTTGTCTGTAATATGATTGCATGCAATGAAGTAATTTTTACATATTTTCCTAATTAGTATTGTCCTCTTAGATCAGATAGTATTTGCGTTTGCCGTGAGGATTTTCTAGATTTTAGTAACAATTATATTTGACCCACAAGCCAAAGTTTGTTTTCAAACCTATCACCAATACATTTTCTTTTCTAGTATGAATATGCGTAGAGCATATTTATGGATTGAGCCTACAGAAAGTAGTGCAGCAGAGCAGGCAGCATACTGCGAAACAACTGCCCACATACCATTTCTATACTCTAAACAAAACTTAGTTGTGTACAGACGTGTCACTACACATGTTCAATGTCCACACTGTGATTTAATATTGGGTAAATATATTCATTATTGGGATGACTAACGATTTATGTTGAGCCCAGCGTGGCACATTTACTTTGCCAACAATGAAGCTAAACTGTTCGATCTATTCAATGTTCATAGCCGAATTAGTCTGAACATGAGAGAGTTTATTAAGTCCCTGAAAGTTTACGATACCTTAAACCTGCGCTAATATGTAGATATAGAGAAGATCAGAAAGTTTTAATACCTTAGAAAGTAAGCGACAAGCAAAAATGACAAATATTGCTTCACATTCTGCATGGTTATCTACAAAAAAACTATGGTATTTCAGTCACTGTAAACTTATCGAAATTCGTACGGCAATGGTGGCATGTAGTCATTTACTTACCACCAATTTCGCTTGAGGACTACAGAGAGTTAACGAATCCGTCTTAGCACTGCTAGAGATGGGCTTCCACTATTTCTATATAGGCCACATGGATCAGCCAAGCCATATATACCAGTGAGACAAAAAAAGCACTGCTTTGGTAGTGAGCAAATTAAGTTGATTAAAATAGGTAAATTGTAGCTATTTTGGTGTGACCGGCACACACGCTGTTGATTAATCGCGGTGAGTTGCTCGGGTTGTGCATTGCAACATAATCAGTACAGGAGGGCAGAAATTCACTGTAAAAATGACGACCCACTCGCGTATAAAATCAGGAATGTCAACTTTCTGCACTAAACAAAAACCTTTCAATTACAGTCACTAATAAATACACAACACTCATACAGCGATGTTTGGAGTGGTACGTTAAATGAAACTTGACGCTGTACCTCATGTGAGACAACGAGATATTTTAGTGAAGTTTTGTAAGTCACAATAGTTCTGTGGAGCTGAGGATGTAATGCTGTTGTTGTGTGCCCTAGTGAAATACTGTGTAAACTCGAAAATCTCTCTTGCTTTTAGGTGCATCAGCATTCTTTACTTACATTGTACTAACTATACAGTGGGATAATTGAAGTCAGCACCGACTTGTTTAACCTTTACACTTTGTAAGGTCAGAACTAGCAAGATTCTCTAGAACTTGCACGGGGAGATCGATTCTCAATGGAATCATGATCAACCCTGTCATTCACCAGGAGACATACACCAAGATATCACAAGACTTCGCTGAGAGCATCATCGTTGTGCCACTGCCAAGAAGTATGCACCAAACCTTCAACGTCGCCAGAAGGGTAACCCGGACAAATTCTTTATTGAAGAGGTGGGATAAAGGGGGAAGGGGGGCTTGTTTTGTCGACTCAGCCTCATATAAAGACCGAAATAAGTGCACCGCGATAGTAGTCGACTATCAGGGCAGGCGTACCAACTGCGCCACAGTTTACACTTCTAAACCGGAAATCACTGAACAGGTGTTCATCGCATTGACCCTGACGAATGATCGATACACCAAGATATACAGTGACTAAAAACCAGCCATAAGAGCCTTCAGTAGGTGCAGGATCACACCACAAGCAGTTCAAATTATTAATAGTAAACGGGCCATTGATACACATTATATATATATTGGTTCCCAGCGCAACTTGGATCACTCGATGACATTCTTATGAATCGAAATGAATAGGCCAACATCAGTGCCCGCGAACTTACGGACCGGGACGCTTTTACACATGGCTTTGATTTTGCTGGATTCAAAAATTTACAACGGGATACGCCCATGACATATTGATACAAAACAGCCGCTAAACACGGCTGCATGAAAGAGGAGGACGAAGTGGGTTTTTTCCGTTGGATGCTGGTCTGACGCCATCTTGCTCGTCGGGTTCTCTGCGCTGTAAATAGCTCATTAAACAAGTTACTCGTAACATTATTGGTGGAGGTGGACGACCCCCGTACCTCGATGGAGACGCGCAGCGGTCGCACCATCGACGACCTTTCGACTGCTTCGACTGCTGGTACTTCCTCTACACCGCCCTCATCAGTCCAAGCCACCACCTACGTCACACTACCGCACCTCCGGGATCCTATATCGCCACAACCTTGATTTCTTCGGATCAGACTTACTTCCTGTCATCCCAGCGCACCTGCGTTCCACTGTCCTGCATCAACTTCATGACGCTCCCATGACGGGCCATTTGGGCGTTTCTCGCACATACGATCGGGTACGACGTCGGTTTTTTTGGCCTAGACTTGCCCGCTCTGTTCGACGCTATGTCGCCGCTTGTGAGCCCTGTCAGCGTCGCAAAACGCCGTCTGCCCTCCCAGCCAGCTACCTTCAGCCGATCGACGTTCCCAACGAGCCTTTCTTTCGAGTTGGTCTCGACCTGTTGGGCCCTTTTCCACTCTCCACAGCCGGAAATAAATGGATTGCTGTTGCCACTCACTACGCGACGCGGTACGCAATCACACGAGCACTCCCGACCAGCTGCGCTACCGACGTTGCGGACTTTCTGCTGTATGACATAATATTAGTGCACGGTGCTCCCCGTCAACTTCTCACCGACCGTGGCCGCACGTTCTTATCAGCTGTCGTTCATGAAATCCTGAGGTGTTGCCATACCAAGCACAAATTTACTACTTCGTACCATCCCTAGTCAAATGGCCTCACGGAGCGCCTTAACAGGACCCTAACCGATATGCTTGCCAAATACGTTGCGCCAGACCACCATGATTGGGACATTCATTTGCCGTATGTGACGTTCGCCTACAACTCATCTCGTCACAACACTGCCGGATATTCGCCATTCTATCTACTATATGGCCGGGACCCAACTCTACCTTTAGACATGTTACTACCTGCGGCCACTGAAAATCCTGGTGAAGCCATTGCCCGCGCCGACCACGCACGCCAAGTCGCCCGTAACCGTCTACAGGCTTCACAGGCGCGCCAACAACAGCTCTACAATTCTCACCATAGGGACGTGCACTTTTCTCCGGGTTCTCTCGTGCTCCTCTGGTCACCTACTCGGCGTGTCGGACTGTCGGAAAAACTGTTGTCGCCCTACACTGGACCATTCCGTATCGTTCGCCAAGTGACAGACGTCACGTACGAGATTGTTCCAACCGATCCAACAAAGTCATCGTCAGCTCCGAGCGACACCGTTCACGTGGCTCGGCTAAAGCTCTATTACCCCCCTTCGACATCATCTGCGTATATTTAGCACCGGGACGGTGCTTCTACCGCCGGGGGTTATAATACAAAACAGCCGCTAAACACGGCTGCATGAAAGAGGAGGACGAAGTGGGTTTTTTCCGTTGAATGCTGGTCTGACGCCATCTTGCTCGTCGGGTTCTCTGCGCTGTAAATAGCTCATTAAACAAGTTACTCGAAACAATATAATGAAATTACTAAACATTACTACCTGGGGAGGAGAGAGTTTGCACCCCCTCACAGTAGACTAAACAGAAAACAAGCGGTCACACTTAGAGAATTACAGACACAGTCTTATTACTCACCGGCACAGGCGAAATAAAGGCACGACATAAATGATATGGATGTTGTTTGCAAGGCGTGTAAGAAAGAAGTGTGCACGCTAGAACATATGCTCAGGAAATGAGGGTCGCTTGGCCGTGGCATTTCCCGGGAACAATTTACAGGTATGATAAAGTCTCACGACCATATCCCCCAAGTTCTGGCTGTCCAGTACGCCCATGACAAGGCTAGGAGACGAACTCCCAGTCCCAATGTGGGATCAACGAGGCAGGTGGCTACACCCTGTACAGGGCGTATAAATAAAGTTATTTCCATCCATACGTCCATCGATCAATTGAAGAAACGAACTCTTTTGAAGTTCATGACCCGATATAGATTCGTGATCCTCAAAGGTGAAGGTGGTGAAGCGTAACTGCCAAATATTTGCCAATTGTTGTTTCGTGAAAAATCTGCTTCAAGTGACACGAAGAAAGCAGGAAGGTAAAGTTCGAAGACTCGGCAAACCCATGTACTAAGCATAACTCCCATGCTCACTGAGGCGCCATGCGTTGTATCTTCGGTAGTAACTGGTACCAGAGTTTCCTATAGTCTATTCAGTGCAAAACGTTGCCGTGCTTTACTGCACGGCTGCCGACACCAGTAGAGGCACAACGAAAGTAGTGGGAGCCACAGCAGCATCGGATATTCAATACTTTCTTGGTATGGCCTCCGCCATCGCAGACGTGCTTGGTTCAACTGGGCTGCACTATATGGCACCGCCTGTCCAGCTCAACCAGGTGAAAATTGAACATTTAGGGGCGAAGCTCCTTAAAGCGGCACCCGTTCGTCCCTCGTCGTAGTCGTAGTGCGTAACCAGTCTTACGCTTTGACCTGCAAGGGAGTACCAGTGAAAGAATTCCTCCTGTGCGTTCTTGAACAATAAAATAAATCGCAGCGAGCGCGTTCACTAAAAGCCGAATTCTCCTGTGTCTCATTCCCAATTAGCAGCCATTGGCATGTGCATTGAGCACTACCTGACAAGAAAGAGTTGCTAGGTTGTACTCGCTGGGCGTAACCTCCTTGGTTTCAGAAAGGCTTAGCGAACGTTGGCCCGCAGTGCCATGAATACAATGAAATAGTATATACCATGAACTCGAGTTGGTTAAAGGTGGGAAGTAGACGGACGGTCACACAGACGGACGCATATATAATGAAAAGATGCGAGATGGTGGTAGTTGGAGTGTTGACTAGATTGACGAACGGACACACAGACAGATGCATGGACGGACGCACGAATGGCTGCACGAACGGACGGACGCATGGACGGACACAGGGGCGGATTCATGAACGGATGCGCGGATGAACGTGCGGACGCGCGAACAGACGCAAAGACCGTCACGCAGACAGACGCATGGACGGACGGAAGCAAGAACGAATGGACGGACGCATCCTTCGCCCCACTCTCCATCATTCACCCCGTGGATATGCTGCAATTTTTTGATACTTACGCCATTCCCCATAGTGGTGTCCGGCAGTTCTTTTTCCACTAATTAAACACAAACGAACAAGCAGCATTTTATTGCACGTCTTGATGCTTGGAAGGTTCTTATTTAGTACAGTTAGTTAACTAATGAATAATTGTAGGCAGCGTGTCTGACATCATGGGGTTCAGTTAGCAAATACCCCGCCCCACCGCGGTGGTGTAGTGGCTCAGGCACTCAGCTGCTGACCCGCAGGTCTCGTGATCAAATTCCGGCTGTGGCGGCTGCATTTTCGATGGAGGCGGAAAAACGGTAGATCCGTGTGCTCAGATTTGGGTGCACGTTAAAGAGCCCCAGGTGGTCGAAATTTCCGGAGCTCTCCACTACGATGGCTTCAATAATCATAAGGTGGCTTTGGGACGCTAAACCCTACATATAAATCAAATTTTCAAATGACCTTTTCGTGGGGCATGTATTCTCGTACAATTACCCTAGTTTCTTGGTAAGTTGGCCACTGCCATTCACAATAATGTCGTTTTAGACGCTGTGATACAATGAGCTTTGACTACTACATAAATTATTATT